GATGGGAAGATTACAACAACAGTAGAAACAGAAGTACAAAGGAAGAAACGAAGGAAGAAACGAAGAGAAACATCCATGCCACTCCACGGTGACAAGATCTGAGACCATCAAATCTTGCCACCGAGGCCGGGATTCGAACCCGGGACATCTAGGTCTGTGATCAGTTGCGCTAACCACTGGACCAACCGATGTCGGCGTCCGAACACTTGAGATATTCTTTTGAAATTACGGGAGAACACAAACTATAGAAGTAAGCAGTAAGTTCACAGATTTTCGTAAAAATATAAACTGAACGCGGAACGCTTTAATCGCAATTTAATATAGAAGATTGACGACTCCAACGAATATCATGCTTGTTTACGTTTTGAATTGAACAGACGATTTCTAACCTTAACAAGTTTATTTATGTTGCTTTCGAACGTTTTCAAGAAAGAGAGGACACTATAAATCATACCGGGAGTATTTACATTGTCAAACGAGCCCGAAATTTCACATTTTAATTTATTTTCACGAGCTGACGCGATTGAGGCTGTTGTACCGACGCCACTTTTTCGAAACTAAATAAATGTAACGGACAATGTGGCAGTTAGTGTTGAGGGCGAATTAGTTTGACCCGAAGGTGAATTTGTCTTACCACAGCGCTAATTTTACAGCTAGTGCTGTTTTCCAATTCTGGTTCGCGCTCTAGTAAAGTCAAGTCAGCGTATGAAGCGAATTGATTGGTGCTTCAGTACAATAAATTAGTTTTGAAGCCTAATTTTGATTCTACTTGGCGAGAACCAACCAAATTAGTTCTCAACGCTAACTACTTTTTTTTCAGTGCAGATTCTAAACCGAGACAGAAATTGTGGATCTTACTTAAAATTCGGGGTTAATCAAAGGTAATTTGCAGTGGCGTGGCGTGCTCTGCAATTGATCGATTGATCTGTCATTTAAACGTATAGAAAAGGATCGATTACTAACGCAGTGTTTGGAACGAGCACCTTAATAATCGATTTTTCGCCACAGTTTCAAGTAGAGAAATATCGATAAACGATCATTCACGCCTCGCCTCTGGTGACTTCTGCCGTGCTAAGGAGAAACGCCGTATAAACATTCGAGAGTTGCCAAATTCCCTTCGATAAAATCTTTATTTTTGAGGAAAGCAATGAATATTTTTCCGAGATATTTTCAAGATTGGTAAAATATCGAAGAAAATTATCTGAATAATTTGAAGAAAAATGTTTACAAATTTTCCCGGAAATTTGTAATTTACCAACGGAATGGCAGCGCCTGAAAGTTCATATGGCGTTTTTCCTTAGCACGACAGATTTGACAACATCCAACGGCACATACGACGTCCTCCCTTAGCAGAATTCCTTTGAATGAGGCTCCTCAAAGAGAAAGTTTCACCCGGAGCCAGTTTTTGGGAGTCAACGACCAAGACGGAAGAACGACTTAAGTCAGGTGAGCATGAATGCAGAGAGCCTTTTGAACCGGTCCGCGAATTCCATCGAACTGCCCACGCCAGATGCCATTCATCCCTTTGTCCGGCTCCGGGCCGTCAATAGACTACCTGCGCGCGGTATCGAACCGGTCCTTCTTGCCGAACTAATAATTCAAAATTCAAACTAGGTAAATCATACAAACAATATCCGACGAATTTCTATTCAATTGAAAATCTGCACCTACTCTACTTCCTCCTCCGCCCTATCACGGCTACTTGCGAATGAAACTCACCCCTCCAGCCCAGTGGCACATTTCACGCAGTAGAGGGACTGGACAGGTGCATTAGTGCCAAATCTTAAGAAAACGCCCTCATCTGGAGCACCCTGTGTGTTTGTATTATCTGGTCAATCAAATTCCCTCTATTATGTTGATGATTTGAAGATTCGAATATACAATTCAAGAGGTAAATAATAGCTGACCAAGTTCAAAACTGAAAATGAAAAGTCTGTAAGCGGTTTATGAGAAAATCCCCGATTTCTGAAACAGATTCCTGATTTTCCCTGAAATTTGGACGTATTTCTATCAAACGGAACTGTGTGAATTATGCCGTGAGCCCTGTAATGCGCATACGCTTATGAGTCTCAGTACTCATGTCTTAATGCACATAGTTCCGTTTGGTAGAAATACGTTCATTTGTCATTCCCTGGAGAATCCTACTTTTTCCCTGTCTTAGACAGCGGACCGCAGTCTTCAATAATCGGCCGTTTCAATCAAGAGGATCGCTATATTTTTTCTAAGTCTTCTTCATCTTTAACTTTGTCGATCAATTGCAATGATCAGGCCATTGCCGGTCATATTTCTATAAAAAACCGAATTCCTCGATCAATTTCCCAACTTGGAAACGAGCTTACGTCCCTCCATCAAAGGCTCGACGAATCAAGACATTATCGCGCATCAAATCGTCGCTCCTCCGACGAAAGCACACATCTCAATTTTCACGTGAGCTTTACTTTCCATACAAATCCATGCTTCCAAGACTCATGCGGAAATTGTTATGGGTGATTTCACGATAACAGGAATAGTTAAAATGTGAAATACCTTAGAAATAAAAGTGCACCAATTTTAACAGGATTTCATTACCTCATTTTAAAGGTATTAAACTTCCTTTTCCCAGCTTTGGCACGCTCTATAATGATTCAGTGCAAAGTTAAAGTGATTGATAAATAAGCCATTGAATCAGGTATCAGCGCTTCCCGCGGGAGTGCTGGAGGTCCACGCAAACAAGGCGGCCCTGCCAAATTGTGTCGGTTACGTAACAGACGCAGCGTAACCGACACTCAAAAATGTGAGATTAAAGATGATACAAAAGATGAAACTTGGCAATTCTTGAGTTGTGACGTGGAATTAATGCTGCCTTAAAAGTTTTCTAGACTTTGGAGACTTTCTTTTAGTTAAATTCCAAAAAAACAAAAATGTGATTTTTGTACAAAATTTCGGCCCAATCCAAAAAATGTCACTAATTACCAAAAACAAAAAAAAAACCAGGCACCCAAAAATATGATGGCAGTACCGTTTGGATTCATCATATAAAAGGAAATGATATCAAAACGGCCCAATTTTCTCTTTCATGCCCATGCAATATACCAAACACCCCAACTTTTTTCACAAAAAAAAAATAAATAAATACCTATAAGGTATGATGACCTGAACACGTTTATTGGATCCATCGCTTTAAAGGAGTATGATATTAAATCGGCCCAACTTCTCTGAAATATGCCCATCTCGGATCAATAATTTTTTTGAGACCTTCCGACTCATCGCTGAGGAGACACTGATCATTANCCTTTAAAGTCTCATATTATTAAATATAATAATAATTCATCATATTTTTAAGCATGGATAGGTTCAGGGACATCATTCCTATTGATTAATTAATTTGGTTTTCAATCGTTTTGCCTTATGTCGTTCATAACCCACGGCGACACGACTATTCCTATTATCGTGAAATCACCCTTATACGCCCATACGTCGGAGGAGCGACGAAATGACGGTCGACGTCTATGACGATCTGGCAAGGCGGGAGCCCAGGATGCTGCGTACGAGATGAAGATGAGAGGAATGGCGATAGGTGAAAACATCTCTTCATCGAGGCGGTCATGGCATCGTGCATTCGAGCATTCGTGTCGGCGCAACTGCCCTCTCGGGGAAATGCATCCTGATCATCTTGATTGAGACGCATCGGATGCTCGGGTCCGAGAGGATTTCACAAAGCTCAATCCAGGCAACATGACAATAGCACATTAAATCCAAGTCCTAGTGTCTAATTCTGTCGTGCTACGGAAGAACGCCTTATGAGTCGAGCTACGGAAGAACGCCGTATGGGCCTTCAGACGTTGCCAAGCTTCCTTTGACAAAAACCGAATGGGTCAGTTGCGATGGTCACAGAATCATGTTTTAATGCTCGATTCTTGATGAGTAGCTAAAAATTATAAGATCCGTCCAAACAGGAACTTTCTAAGTTCAATATTAGTATTTTGAAAATCCTCGGGTTTTTAACGTCATCCACCGCGGTATAGTGACACCCTTGGTTTCTTCCACCTTGCTTTCATCAGTCAGTGATGCACTAAGGGTGTCACCACCGGGATGGGTGACAAAAAAAACCTGGCTTTTCAAATGGCGATATTTCGGTTAATATTGAGTGTAGAAAGTTAATGTTGGGGCAGATCTTATTATTCTTGGCTAATCCACAAGGATCAAGAATCAAAACACGATTCTGTGACCAGCGCAACTGGCCCATTTACTGGGAAAAATGTGAATATTTTCCCCCTAAATTTTCAGACGATTTTGCACGCAATTTAATGTAAATATCTGAAATTCTAAAGGAAAAATGTGCATGGATGTCGTAAAAAATACATGATTTATCAAGGGAAACTTGGCAACTCTCGAATTTTCATGCGGCGTTCTTCCTTAGCACGGCAGAATTCAAGCCGAGTCGATTACAATCAAGAAATGCCTTGAAGGAGGAGTGGATTCTAGATTTTTCCTATGTGATTTATGTTGTTTTTGAGTCATTTAAACACTTGAATTCGTATGTGATACGCCCGTGGCAAGGGTTCGCGACGACCCACACCTACGCAAAAAAGGGAGGCACGCTTGAAATGACACATTTTTCGAGGGGGGAGGGGGTGTCTGGAGGTAAATGACATCCAGGGCAAAGGGAGGAGAGGTCAAAGGTCGGGAAAAATGGGCTATGTGATTCATGGACGAACCCTCACTACTTTTCAGCAAATAAAGGAAAGTTGTGAAAAGTGAGAGATGAATTAATCCGGGAAATCCAGGTACCCTCATTAATTATTGTAATAATTTTTCAGTTCAATGAAGACATTCTCTTTTGTGAGCTTGCTTTGACCTTTCACCTGGGAAACCCGAAAAGTAGGGATATTTTGGAAATCGAAGCCACTCTTTTGTTTTCGAGAAGAACAAGGAAAAAGTTGGAGACTTCGAGGGCTCGGAACTTTCGGTACTTTGGTCAGTCGAAGTCGCGCAGCCGTAGGGGTTGAGCTTGAGCTCAACCCATAGGAGGATAAATAAATCGGAAGTTTATTTTATCGGAAATATATTCATCTCGGGACCGCGAGTGGTATTCGTGTGCTTCAAGTGCATTACCATCAATGCAGTTTCGTGTTCGGTACTTCAGTTTCGTGTTCGGTATTTTAGTTTCGTGTTCGGTACTTTAGTTTCGTGTTGGTACTTTATTTTCGTGTTCGGTACTTCATTATTAAAATGTTTCTCAGTGATTCATTTCGTGAACATAGAAGGTGCAGTGAATAGTTGAACAGCCTTACTTTCCGCAAGTTTTCTATCCGCCGAAAGTTTTCGTCAGCGAGCCTCTACTTTTTCTGTCCAGTGGAATAGTTTGCCGTGATTTGCAATAAGTGGAGTTACTATTTGTCACTCGTGTCGGTTGTCATTGTGCGAATTTTCGGAAGTGTTTATTCTGTGATTATTTTTATGAAATTTGATTTGAGGATATCGTTTTGGAAGTCAATTTTCTCACGTGTATTCCTCAGCGTTGATTCGGTAAGTCGCTTGATGTCATCAACAAAATGTTTTTTTTTTCTTTTCTTCTTTTTTTTACGAGAGAAGTGTGGTTACATTTAATATTGGTGACTTAAGTGTGAAACCGCGTATTTCCAGTAAATTTTATGCTACCATTTTATTTTTCGAGGAAAATTAAGTCGACTGTTTGGCTTGATATCTTTACAGAACACTGAAAAAAAAACACATTGGATCTAGAGTCCAGACTCTTGAAAACATTGACAAGAAAAAATACTCTTGATTCAATCGGATTTTTGCTTGAATCAAAACGAAATCCGCTTAAATTAAGAGGCTTGGTTTTTAATTTAAGTTGGATTCTGATTGAATCAAGAATAATTTTTCTCACACGTTTTCTTTTTCTTATACTCTTAAAAAAACATCAGTTTTTTAAGAGTCTGGACTCTAGATCCAATGTGTTTTTTTTCCCGTGAATATTTTGCTAAAAGAGAGGATAAATCGGGGTAGTTTTCAAGGAATAAGTTGACTAGTTTTACCAAGAAAAAATAAAGTGTAACAGGAGGTCCGGGACGTCGCAGACGGAGATAGGTGGTTTCGCGCTGCGGCCATCGATATATAATTTGAGAATCCCTGTGGGCGATAATCTTTTGATTTCCTCGAGATTTTTTTCACAATCAGTGGAATTATCGAGGTATTCAGCGTATTGAAATGTGTTGCAATTTTTTGCATTTGCGAAGTACCTAACTTCTTCATAAATCGATGGCCAAAGTGGAAAATCATGCATTTCTATTGTGGTGTCATAAAATTTCCACCTTTATTTTCTTTTTTCGAAGAGAAACAAGCAAACTTCATAGCTTGAAATTTATACAAAGTATTCTGCAAACATTGAAAAAAAATCACGGAAGTTTTAAAGAAATTAGGTAGACCAGTTCCCCCGAGAAAAAATGAAGTATGACAGAAAATCTGTTGAGTAGCAGACGGAAACGCGAGTTTCTACACTTAAGGTGATTCGATGGACGCGATGCTTTGTGTTAGAACAGCTTGCGATATATCGCATCAATTGGTTCCATTTTTTCAGCTGCTCGTCATTTTTCTCCAATTTTGAGATCGCGATTCTGTTGTCAGGAGACTAAAGCACTCACTTACCAATTTTAACGAAGAAATTCAACGTACTAAAGGCGTGGTTTTTTTGGAGAGAAAACATCGCATTCGATACTGATATCGAAACTGCACTTGGATGCGATATTTTCTCTCTAAAAAAACCACGCCTTTATTACGTTGAATTTCTTTGTTAAAATTGGTAAGCGAATGCTTTAGTCTCCTGACAACAGAATTGAGATCTCAAAATTGGAGAGGAATGACGAGAAGCTGAAAAAATGGAACCAATGGATTCGATATATCGCATGCCTTTCTGACACTAAATATGGCGTCCATCAAATCTCCTTAAGTCGTCGATATGAAAATGTTTAATCGTTGAAAATTGGTTATTATTGAATACATTATGTGAGAATATTATAATTTTGTGGTAAAAAAAGCAGTGTTATTCCATTATTTTTCAACATTATTTCAATTTATTTGTTAAGCTGTTCCATATACTAGACAATGTGCAACAATGCGTTACGTTGAATTAATCTCTAAAAGGGTTTAATTTCTTTCTTTGCAGGCAACATTCGAGAAGGGGATGAACGAGGATGGAAATCTTCACCCTCCGCATCAGAGCTGTTCCTGACCTTGCAGATCATCGCTTCTTCACGGTAAGATCTCTCAAGCTTGATCCTATTTCGAAAATTAAGGTGATTCGATGAACGCCATATTTTGTGACAGAACGGCATGCGATATATAGCATCGATTAGTTCCATTTTTACGGCGACTCGTCATTTGTCTCGAATTTTGAGATCGCAATTCTATTGTCAGGAGACTAAATAATTCACTTACCAATTTTGATGAACAAATTCAAAGTATTAAAGGCGTGAGGAAAATAGAGGAAAAATACTGCATTCGAATGGGATCTTTGTCTCATAAAAAAACCCACGACTTCATTACGATGAATTTGTTTGTCAAAATTTGGTAGGTGAATTCTTTAGTCTCCTGACAACAGAATTGCAATCTCAAAATTTGAGAAAAATAACGAGTAGCTGAAAAAATGAAACCAATTGACGCGATATTTCGCATGTCGTTCTGGCACAAAATATGGCGTTCATTGAATCACCTCAACTTCTAATGAATCGGTTACTGTCAATAATTTCAATTTTTGAAATGGGCTGCTAAAAAATTTGAGGGGCTTGGAGGACATGGCGCATAAGTGCAGTTATTGAAAAAGTTGCGATTTTAATGATTTCAAGTAAAACTAGTCTAAGTGCATGTTTTGTGAAAAATTCCCTCTCAAATTTCAATTTTTAAGCTTCAAAAAGTCAGTTTGAACTTTCTTTCCGCCATAAGGATCCATGTAATTTCAAAACTTCAAACATATTTCTCGAGGTAGCAAAAACTGCACTTGCGCGCTTTGTCCTACCAGCCCCTCATTCTTCCTCAACGCTGATCATCGCCGCTGTCATCATTCGGGCGATTTTAGGTAGAATCAACTTAACTACATTTCGTCGCTCCTCTGACGTAAGGGCGTAACTTGATTTCTACCTGACCTCTGTGCTCCGTATAACTCTATGCTTTCTAAGGCTCATGCAAAAATCTAGATACGCCCTTACGTCAGAGGAGCAACGATTTGACGGTGCTTAGTTTTTCCTGATGTTCTGTTTCTGTACTACTGCAGAACTACGGAACATAATGCTTTGAAACTGTCTTATTTTTCCAAGATTCTGCAGAATAAACTATTCACTGAATTCGCTACGACAGGATTCAGCTTCATTTTTTGTCATTTCCCGGACGAAGAAACGTAACTCCATTCCAAAGTTGTCAAATTGATTCAAAGAATTCAATTTTTCACAAACACTAGAAAGCGAAATCTTTATCCAAAATTTATTTTCGTTTTTCATGAGATCAGCGGAAAAATCAGTGAAATGTACAATTAATACCTAACATTTTCCTTTACAAATTCAAATTTACGAGGCGAAATCTGGCAACGATGAAATGGACCACATTTTGCAAAAAGGAACCACTATTACTGGCTCATTTTAGAAACAACGTATATGCCATTGGTTTCCCTGTGCAGAACGGTGGGTTTATGGGAGAGTCAGAAATAGTGGTTCCTTATTGCAAAATGTAATCCAAATGTAGTTATGTTCTTTCGTGGGAGGTAACGACGAATTGGACTGCATTTTGCAATTTGGAACTATAAATTCTGGCTTACCTGAAAAAAACACTTATGTGCATAGGGATACTAATGGCACATGCGTTTTTTTTAAACCGGGCCAGAATTTATAGTTCCAAATTGCAAAATGCAAAATGCAGTCCAATTGAGGGAGGAAAATAGATTAAAAAGCCTCCCAATGAGTGGCCCCGTTTCGTCGCTCCTCTGACGAAAGGGCGAATCTTAATTTCCTCGTGAGCCCTGGGTCACATTCAAATCCATGCTTTCTGCGGTTCATGTGAAAAGTGAGATACGTCCTAATGTCAGAGGTAGCGACCTTTTTTGAAACCCGGGGATTTCATTCGTACGTGACCGAAATGAAACCTTATGATGAGACAAGCCTCCGGTAAAAATTTTAGCTTGAGGATACGTTTGGTTTTGGACAGTGGCGTGGCGTGCATTGCGATGTACCGATTCTCATGCCATTTAAAGCTATGGTAAAGAATCGATTATTAAGGTGTTCGCTGCGAACACCCTGTCTATCGATCCTTTTTCATAGGTTTAAATGACATGACAATCGATATATCGCAATTCACGCCACGCCATTGGTTTTGGAGCTACAGCGTTGCAAAGTTTGCATGTTTGAGTCTTAAAACTCTTCATATTTTTGAAGAATTTCTTCCAAAAGCCAATTTCAAAGTAATGTAAGTAACAAGTAATGTAAGTTTCAAGTAAACATGACGGGTAACTGAAAAATTATAAGAAAATCCGTAGTAAAAGTTTCAAATTGTGGATGAGCCGTTAATAGCAGTACAACGTTGCAAAAATTACATTCTAGCCCTTTAAAAATGCCCACTTTTTATAGTTTTGTATATTGCAGCAGTATTTGGGACATGAAATATACAATTAGAGATACTCGCAGACTCATAGTAAAATTTATATCAGTATACGATAATTTTAGGCAATGCAGCGTTGCAAAGTTTAGACGTATAGCATAGATTTAATCAGTATACGAT